TTGCAGCTGAGTTAATGCATGCGTCAAAGAGATAGTGGCCTAGTTCAGTCATGCCATTAAAGGTGTTAACTCCCCCATTGGCGTGAACGTATTGCAGCGAAGAACAGTTGGCAAAGGCCTTGTAGCCGAAGTCCGCGCAGCCTGGCGCAGTTATGCTTTTAAGCCAATGACAGCCTCGAAAAGCACTTTCGTCAATGCGCACTACTGTGATTGGCAGCTTGACAATTCTTAGTTGGCGACAATTTTGCCAGGCAAGCGCCCCAACAGTGTGAATGCCTTCTTCGACGATGACATGGCGTAGTCGAGGGACTGCAAGGAACGCACCAGGTAGGATGATCCCTGCTTCACTGGCAGGGACTTTGACCGCTTTTGGATAATCCCGGTACGCGCAATCTTCAAAGCCCTCTTTGGAGTGGAAGATTTCCACGCACTCTCGAACAACCAGGGTAAAATGCTTATTCTCTTGCAGAGCGTCCCAGACTCGGTCCTGCAGACACTCCTGCATGGTTGGGTGGATAAAGTCCAATAGAGACAGTGGCCAAGTAGTCGACTATGTGTTCTTCAAAGTCTTCAAACCTGTCGAACTGAGCAATGTTTGTTGAAACAGTAACTTCATTACCTGCCATGGTGGTGAGCAGGAGCTGGCAATCCACAGTTGCTTCGCTCTCTGTCGATGTACTCGGATTAGAGGCAGGGGGAGTCTCCATCTTAATAGCAGTCTGCAAAGAGATCCGAAGCGAGTCCTCCGCTTGAGCCAGCTTAACGGTGCTAGTGCTCACTTGGCCCTTTTCTCGTTGGTTTCCTTCTTTGGCTAGCTGGAAAGGACTAAACATTTCTGGTTGAAACTTTCAGAGCCGCGTGTCTGGTATTTTTTGTGTTGCCCAATCTTACGATCACTCTCCCGTTTGCCTAAGACGAGAACTAAGGCTCTCACCAAGGCACTAGGTTTGTCCATGTCCCCTATGTCAAGGTTTCTACGAACAACGACATTTCGCAGCGCACAGTGTGAGACTTTGAGCCACCTAGGACCGCCTGGCTTGATCGTCTAGTGCAGCCCTTTGCGCAGTTCTTCGTCAAAAGCGTCCGAATCGACTTCTTCCTGTGGGAGCAGTTTGATCCACGATGGGCGTTTAAACTTTTCACACAACATGAAAGCGTTGTTTTCCGCATGGGGCCCTCGCCACGTGGCGGTCTCATCCAGCTTGATGAGCTGCGTGAGTTGCTCACACCCAAAGAAGGCTCTGTGGGCAAAATAGTGAAGCACAGGCGGGATTTTCACTTCCCGAAGAGAGGCGCAACAGAGAAAGGATTCTTTGCCAATGCGTCTGAGCTTTGGCGGGAGCCAAATGTCCACAAGGTTCACACTACAAGAAGGTGGACCTCCATATGGAGCTGATTTCTGTGCACAAGAGGTCCACTTGGACGAGATGCTTGCAGTTTTCGCAGGCCATGGGTCCCAGGAAATTGAAGTCAGGAGGGAGCCGTTGGCACTCAATGCCTGATCCACAAAGGCTTCCTTCTAGGGCCCGCGTAAATGCATCGTTGGACACCGCAAAGTGCACTGTTGCAAGTGCCAAGAAGCTTTCAAAAGCATAGGGCGAGATTTGAGCCCCTGGGGCGAGCTCATTCGAGGCACATGGAGGTTCACAAAGTGCTGACGAAATCTGCACATGGAGGTTCACAAAGTGTGAGAATTCAAAGTACAACAGTGCTGAGGAGCGAAGACTCCTTACCACTTGTTTAGAGACCGCAAAGAAAGTTTTTGAGGAGCGGAGACTCCCTACGACTTGTTTGAATGACGTTCGTTACCTTTTGAGGACATTGAAAGATCCCTTTCAATGTTTCCATATGTTTGTAGTTTGTGTATGAGGTGTCCGAGAACACCCGAAAATGTTTGAACTATGCTCTTAGTTGTTTCCAACTGTTTTAAGAACTTTTGTGAAGCGTTGAAGTGTTTTGAGTACGGTTTTGCGTGTCCACAAATGTCCCGAGAACATTTGTGAACCTTGGAGAACGTGCGTCACTTTGGCTCAAGTGTGCGGCGAAAAGTGTGCGTGTCTTTTGGCTGCTTTTTTCCTCCGTTTTCGACTCGGGTCGTTGGGACACTTGACTGACTAGGCAGGCGCAGCGTCTGTGGAGCTGGAAGCTGAGAACTGGCGACTTTGTAGTGCAACTTTAGTACGCGGAGCAATCTGGTGCCAAGGGGTCGGACGTACGCCGGCAGAGCGCCGGCTGGGCACCGGCGCTCTGCCGGTGGCCTTTGCGTGCTGTGTGCGGCGCTTGCTGCTTGCCAAGGGGCTGGGCACCGGCGCGCTGGCGGTAGCATTTGCGTGCTGTGCGCGGTACTTTTCTGTTAGTGATATGTAATGAACGGTTGTAGAAGGCCAACAACATATCACACTTCGAACTTGGATTTTCAGTTAATGCAATTGCCACGTTGGGA